ATAATAATAATAATGGTTATTTTTTCGTCCTTTTGGGGGATTTTATTGGAGAAAGCAAGACAAACGGCTCTACAACAAGTTTGGTCAGAATTGGGCAACGTCTCAATCCAGATGGTTTACTGTTGAGAAAGTGCCGTTACACAATATTTTACTACGCGATTGCACAGTGCACAACTGAACTGCATGAACAGTGATCACTTTAAATGAGATGTTCTGGATAGCTGATCAAATTAAAGGCACACTCCACCAGGATCACTTTATCAGGCATGGGGAGTACTAGACTTTCTTCTTTTGTTGCACCCCCCTCCAAAAACACTGGATCACATGTTAGCCCCTGTTGCATCTCTTTTGACCATTCTTCTTCAGTCATCATCAGTCTTAATGTGGCCGCTACAGTTGGATTGAACCATGCCTTGATCAGCTGCGACCAGCTTAGTACATCCCGATCAGAGGGTCGGGTAGAAAAATGGAGCGGTGTGCTTTAACATCTGGTTGGATGGAAGCAAGGAGGTTTTTGGAGAGCTGTGGGCGGAGTGTTGTCTTAAGAAAGGAAATCACATCTTGAGTCGCGGCGGCGTTCGAACGGCGAGCCTCACTGGGCTCTTTCCGTTGTCCTTCCATCAAGAGGTGGCGCGATCCGAGCTGCCGGGCCGAGCCGATGAATCCTGCAGATTTTGAAGTAGAAAATTCTCTATGTGGTAGACTGGTTGCAAAGTAATGTAGGCCATTTCCTGTAGTTAAACGGGGGAAGGGGTTGTAGTGGTAATTTGTACATGTTTGTTCTGTTGTTGTGTATAGGATGTGCCTACTCTGTCTGCCGCTGTACGGTTTCGGGCGATGACGACAGTGTACGGAGGGACTGGGAATGCCTCACTCCATTAGAGTTCCTGCTAAGGCAGTTTTTTTAATATACTTCACCTGTGGGCTTGAAAATTAAACAAAAAAAGTGATGGATTAACTTGTTTGTCTCACTGATGATGGCTATGATAAATGCAAGTACACTTTACACGGGAGAATAGTTTCTTTCAGTCTGTCATGTCTTCTTCTTCTCTCCGTTACTTCTTTATTTCATCACCTCCTGTTCAATATTTGCTTTTAACTGTGTGGTGGAGATGGTTGCTCGTGTCCCACAATGCATCTCTTACTGTGGATTCATGGGAAATCTTTCTTTCCACTCCCACCTTAAGACTTTTTGCTCCTCATTTGTAATGCCACTGTATTTGTGTATTTTAAAATTGTGTAAATAAATTAATAAGTACTTGTATGTGTTGCTTTTTATTGATTTGGAATGGAATGGGGTAAAGACAAGTGTTACCAGTGGTACTGCTCCTTTTAGTGTGGCAGAGGCTTTCCAGTGGGACCTGGACTCTGTCTGACCTGCATGGACCTCCATTAGTGTCATTGGTAACACCCGTGTTTACCCTACTATTTAATGTCGAGATTGCTGCTGTGAAAAAGGTCTATTTGCAAACGTTTCCATGCTAACATGCTAAATGAAAGTGCTGAACGTGGTAAACATCGGCATGTTAGCATTGTCATTGTGAGCGTGTTGGCATATTGTGGTACAGCCTCACTGTCTGCTTGCCCCGTCCACACAGGAATAATACTACAGGGGAGAGTGTGTCCCCCCTCACTTGGAATAAAATATATTTTTTTTTAGCTTCTGATAAATTAAATAAATGTTATCTGCATTTAACAGTGTTAAATACACAAAGCTCACTAAACATAATTTGTGAACTCTACATGTCTGCTGGATGTGTGCAACTGTTTGCTAACGTGTTCACCATAACTTCTGAAGGTGAATATGTTAGTGTTAGTGTATAGTGTTTTATGTGTGTTCTGCCCCTAAGTGAGCAAAAAAAAAAAGTGTCAGTTGTCATATAATGGAAAACACTTCACACATAAATGCCTACTGCAGCTTTAATGTATTTGTATTTTTCATTAGCTTTTAATTTTTAATTTTTTCGGTTAGTTTCCAGAGTTGATTTGCTCTTTTCAGTTTAGTTTTTATTAGTTTCAGTGTTAGTTATTCTAATTATTATTTGGGGTTTTTTGTTAGGAGACAAACAAATGCACCAATGCCTTTTCATGCCTGTATTTTTAGATTTTTAGTTCATTTCAGTTCATTTTTGTTTTTTTCTAAAGTCTATTTTTTAAAATATCACTTAACTTAAATGTTTCCTCGCACCTAGCTTTAGTTTTGAGTTAGTTTTAGTTAATACAATAACCTTGCACCGTACAGTAAAGCTTAAGGTTCCAGTGCTAGAATCAAACTGCTCCTTAATGCAATGACATAGAACAACCACTGGGTGGTGCTGTGGGAGAAGCGGAGCACCTGCATGCTGCTGCGCAGTCAGGACAGTTATACAACAGTTCATTATTGCTCCTCCCTGCAGGATGTGCAGAGACTAATGAGCCCAGGATAAGAATAACATACACAGTGAACACTCACTAACCAATAAAAGCAAGGATACAAAGAAAGTGGAAGAAATAAAATAATTTTTTGGATTAAAATGTGGTAAATCAAGAACATTTCTGGGTGTATTTTTTTAAAACAATAAAATGTGAGCATCTATTTTTATACAAGGCATCTGAAGGAGTATTCTAGAGGGTGAGTGAGGGACAAAACACACACAAACATGCATGCTCCCTGACCAGGGGTAAAGTGGGGCAGGGGGAGTGTTGACGTCAGCAGACCACAGTCTCTTCCCCACAGCAACAGCACAGTAGTTTATTTATTCCCTGATTATTAACACTCTGTCAGTCAGAGCATCACGGGAAAGAGCCGGAGCACAGCAGCACACCCCCAGGTGCCACGCAGCTTCTGATCAATGCAAATACATCGAAAGTGCATCACACTGCACCACACACACACACA